TATGCAGTAATGCTCTCATTACTGCTTGACGATGTAAATAGATAAGGCGATAGTAGGTACTTCCCTGGATAAACTATTTCACAAGAAGCTCTACTACTCTGTAGTAGTTGAAATGGTTTATGCCACTGTTGGCATACAGCCAAAATACAACCACGACGCGAAGCGCATGTCACTTATACTTTTCTACGGTAGATTCGTGCGCTTGCTTAAGAGTCGGTACTACCTTAGCTCGAATTCAATTTTTCCCGTACTAATACGGTTCAATATGCTTGGGTCGAGGGACAGGGATACTGGCTTTATTTCAGAATTTATTTTTTACAAAAGAAATTAAAGCCATTTCATAAATGTATATTATATATATTGCATATAATGTATATTGTACGTGTTCTATGAAGGCCTACTCTCAACCTAAAAAAAAATCATTGGTATATGTAAATTAACTATTGAATAAAAGAGTTTTCTTGTAAAATTTCGAGGTAAGTTTGTGTTTTTTCAATCTTGAAAATTTTTAAAAGCATATTAATCGGGGCATATCCTCAATTTTACTATAAGTACCTTTCAAAGTATTTGATATGCGGAATCGAGCTGTTTGAGGTTGTATAGACTTAATTCTACATCAACATTCACAAGACGCACGGGCACGGTTTGTTTCCTAAACTTTGCCCCACCTTTGCCAACTTTTGTTTTTACCGTAAAGTTTCGTAGTAAATACGCAAGACCTGCCAATGCTTGCAATCTGGCGTATCTCATTATATACATTGGTCTATTCCAAATGGCTAATAAGCGATATCACAGTTCTTGTTGCCCTCAGCAAATCTCTTCTGGTCGAATTTGTGAGGATTCTCATAAAGCTTTGGATTCCTGTGCATCTCAGAAATAATAGTATCTAATGATCTACGTATCCGTTCAAACCTTAATTTCTAACGGGTAGAACAGTATCAAGATCGCATCTCCTGGACAAAAACTCGACTGATGTGAATTGTCTAAGAAAAATTCTGGTAATTGATCTATTATAAAAATACTTATCTAAATTAATTAAATTTTTATTGAATTGATATTCAATTATTTTTTGTGAAATTACTCCACTAGTTTGTTATAATTATTAATACAAAGATCGAACACTCTACATAATTAATACAGTGAATGGCGACATAATTAATACAGTGAATAGCGACATCTCTCGCCAGGACTGGTAGCTGTAAAGGTACTAACTGGGTGATAAATCTGTCAAAGATTTCTCATAGATGGCGCTACGTCTAAAAAGTCGTTGAAAAACCAAGTACAAAGACACGACGCAAGCACATAGAGAAATTTGTGAGGTCCGTTGGTTCGTTCCGTGGCTTAGTTGGTATAGCGTCTGGCACGGTATGCAAGAAGACGTCGGTTCGAATCCGACCGGATCGAAGGAATTTTTTCTGAGTGTTTTTTCTGAGTGTTCGATCTTTGTATTAATAATTACTTATCTAATTTTTTTTTAAATCTCATACCTTTTTTTTATATTTATAACATGCATTGTTAACAATAAGTATAAGAACGGTATCGCATAAACCCATTAAGGTGCATACAGATCTGGTGGTTGTGAGCAATTAAATGCATATTAATATAATGTATATGGCGCGCGAACGGCACGCGGACAGTGCCTCTACCATGAGTTTACTCTGACAGTTATTACTATCGGCCGCATAAATTACTTCACAATTTTGTATGGCAAATTATACAGCGCCCCTAGAGGGTACGCTAAGAAGTACCATTTATGTATACAAATTTTACAATATTTTACGTTATCGCCAGCGAGAACTGTCACAGTAAACTTAGGTAGAGGCACTGATCGCAGCTCGAGAGCCTTTTACAAACAGGCGCATTTGTCGTGCATTCGCCAGATCTGTACGCACCCTTATACACCGCTGCATACCACATTGTCAATAACAAACATAAAAAAGAGGGTAAGAAGATTATAAGGTTGTAAAATCTAATCTGACATTATTTTTTCCGTTCAAAGAAATTATTAAAATGTAAACAATAAAAGTTAAACTCATTAAAAATAGAAGTAAACAAAAAATATACAAACAAAAAATATAATTAATTTCGTAATATAAACAATTCACAAAAAAAATGAAAAATATTAACATCGTCAGAGTGAATAAATCATAAGAAATAAGCGAAACATGTTAATCCAATTGAAACTTAATAATATATACAAGCTTTTATACATGACATTGTAACAAGGAAATTGTATAAAAAAAAATCAATTATTTTGACGGCCTCTGTGGTCGAGGGGCTTGTATATCGGTTTTCATGGTGTCGCCATCTCTGAGGTCCCGGGTTCGATCTCCGGCCGGGTCAGTGTAGAAACTAACTTTTCTATATTGTCTCAGGTCTGGGTGTTTGTAGTACCGTCGCTGTTTCCGATTTCCATAACACAAGTGCTTTAGCTACTTACTTTGGGATCAGAACAACGTGACGTCGTCTAATATTTATTTATTATTTATTTATTATTTATTCAGCCGAAAGACGTCCATAGCTGCACATAGGCTTCCCCGTAAGATCGCCACAAGGCCGGTCTTAGTCGAAGTTAAAGAATCTTTATTTCAATCAAATCACACTTAAAATCGTCATATTGATTAAACTTCTCATTGAACCAGATTACTCTGAGAAAAATGGGCAAGAAACTTCATACAGGAGTTACTCTTTGTAAATAAGCATTTGTACATAGTCACCATTCATCAGCTAGACAGCTGGCTCTGCAGCTGAGCTGGCGGAAATGATAAAAAGTACTAGGAGGTAGTACTTACCTAAGTACTAGGAGCTCGGTTCCGATTACCTATGTACAGCCTTTGGGGTCCCGGTCCCCTTCATCTGTACGTAACTGTTTTTGGATAAATACAAAAAGCGGGGTATATCCACTTTAAAGTTAAAAATAAAATATTGTATGAGTAACTACACGATATATTCAAGCATAGACATTAATCAGAAACATAAAACAATAAAATTTCCTCGATAGATAAGAATCACGAAATGTCCTCTAATTTTCACATTTTTTCGATTTATCCTCGAAATGCTACAGGTTATTAGGACAAAAATTAGATAATTAATTATATTTATGCATGATCGACAACTGTCACTACGGATTTTTTTTAATCCCTTTAGTTTTAGAGTTATTCCGCCAAAACGAATTAGGTACTTTTAATGCGCAAAATTCAACATCTCCTGTCGCATGTCACGCGAACTTCAGGTATATATTTGTTTCACAAATTTGGGCGGAGCCAACGTCAAAACTTTTTTGGCATGAGAGCTCTTAATAAACTGACTGGGCCAGCAGCTACCTTACCTAACGCATTAGCATAGCCATGAAAAGGGGGAACGTTACCAGCATCTTGGGCATCTTGCCGTGGGGACCCAATTTTAGTCACATAATTGAATCCTAGTTTTAGTTTCTAGTGTTTAAGCTTTTATTGTACCTGACCTATATATTTTAAGTTATTGTTTAATAAATATAATAAATTATCATTTACAATATTTATTTAAAATATCATGGATTAAAACGACATGCAAGCGCTAAACGGGTCACTGCCTTGGATATTAATTGTCATCCAAGCTGTATAATATAGTGTAAAGTTTTTGTTTCACTATAGTTTTGAACATGAATGACAAATGTTAAATATTTACTAGGCAACAATATTTAAATTCCTCTGAGTAATATAACCGCGCGGTCGCCGGGCGGCCGCTGCGTAGACTAAATTCAAGCCAGCTTTATTCTTTCGCGTCTGATACGCTCATTTAAGTTAAACGAAAAGCTAAATAAATACTTACAGCGTATTTTGCCATGACAGTTAGATTCGCGCGGTCGCTGCGCGGAGGCAACGCGGTCTCCGCGCGGTGCGGCGGCGGCCGCGCGGGGAGGGCGATGAAATTCGTATCGAATAAATGTGCCCTTACGCTTCTTGCAACTACTCAATGAAGCGTAAACGTTTTCTTCCAATTTTTTTTGGATTATCGTTGAATACTTGAACAAAATCCTGTGCACTTTTGTCCAGTATATAGTACATGTTTTTTTAGTTTCGTGGACGTAAATAAAGGGGATACGCTCTGACGCATTAGTTTCCATCTATTTCCACTCGACAATGTCTGTCTGCCAGTAAGTCTTTTTCATAGCAGAAATCGGTTCCACTATTGTTGAATGAGGCAAAATCAGGCTACAAGACATGTTGCATGTTAGTGGTATCAATCACGTAAAGAGTTGGGGTTAAGAAGGTTCCGATGCCTACAGCTGGTTCGTTTTCGTGTTACTTATAAATATCGTCAGGTAATTCTGTGAGTGATCAGCCTTTAGCCATGACATCCCAGAACGGCCCAGCAACTTTGTTTCTTTTGTAGAACCCAACTCCACGTTTCTTCCAATAATCTTCATTATATCTTCCAGTTAATTAATAAAGCGTCAAAAGGATTAAGATACTTGACAAAATTAGCACCAAAACCATTGTTTATACATATAGAAAATATATCATAATAGATTTACACTGGTACCCACAGCGTTCGTTGAGGCGCAAGTTTTTACCTAAATATATTGAAAATTATACAGATAAGTTAAATTGGTACGTTTATTTTGGATTGTTTTGAATGATAATTTAAAGATAACGAAGACAATAACAATAAACAAGCCCATCGACTTGTGTGACGTTCTAGTACCCGAACGTAAACCGATTTTGATGATTCTTTTTTGTTGGAAAGAGGGTACCTCAGTGTTGGCACATTGGTGAATTTGAAGAACATATCCACCTCTAAGGGTGGCAAACTACGGGTTGAATCCGGTTTCAACAAAAACTTAGCAGATAAATGTAATTCCTCGAACTTTTGTTGTTTTTTTTTTATAAAAAAAAAGTTATAACTAAATTACTAAGTATAGTAACTAGTTAAACTCAGTTGAAACAAAGTACGTCGATAAACGAAAGATAATCTCTCTCACAGAGCGAGCGATAATGAAATCATTCACGTTAGTAATTGAACCCCTCCACTTGACTGTAGCTCAATAAAGAATAGACGCGCGAAGTATTGCCACGTGTACTCTGTTTACTCAGTGAAATAAATACAAAAACGTAAGTAAATACCACAACTTCATCGTGTACAATGTAACATCTTACTAATATTTGTGATTTAAAATATATTCCCTTCATATAAATGATAGTATTTTGAGAAATATCCTACAAATATTTCTCCCGTGAGTATGAGTGGCCCATGGCACCCGCGATACTCCTGTGTTCTCTAGAGTGTGTGTGACTCCCAGTGTCGGCGGTTAAAAATAAACCAATACAAAATTAAATACAGCACATACAGAGCCGTCTACTATGATCATCTGACACGCGTATTTTTAAAGGATTTTTCTTACAATACTTCTATTTAGCATGATTGTATCACAGTGATTCTTAGTTTATTATTAACTTATTTATTATGCATGTTTATTTACTCGATCAAAACCATTAAAAGTGACAACTAACGGAGCTAACGACATGTTTGGTTTAATTTTTAGCATGTCATTATTGTTCTGATTTTTCCATTGTAATAATGATTCAACTATTTGGCCTTTTGTTTTGGTTGAAATAAAAAAGTCACGATTATGCAGTTACGAGTGAATGACTTTGGAGAAACTATATATACATATTTATATTAAATATAATAAATTTTATATCTATTACCATACCTCGTACAGATATGCGGAAATGTTTTAAATTATGTTTTATAACAGAAATGTGGGGAAAGCATTGACTTACAATTATATGGACGTCGGGTCCGCGCTCAAAAGTGTCCGAACTTTTAGGGCGTTAAAATCGTATACAGAGCGTCATTCATGCTTTAGTCTTCGTTTGTTCGACTGACTGCGAAGCAAGCAAAATTAGACAGTACTGCGATGACATTACAATTTAAATTCAACGTTTTAGCTTTTTCATATTCCTTTACATGTCACTACGTTTAAATAGGTTGACTTGGGACATTTTTTTCGTGGTTTTTGTATTAAACCCGTCGTCCATTTATTTGTAAGTCAATAGGGGAAAGCTTCATTTTACACACGCAAGCAGATGAAGCAATGCACTCACGCTTGCACGCACTCTAATTTGAATGGTAACCAAAATGTCACCTGTACAAATGTCTGGCATAAATAATAATAACGCACACACTGAACGTAGCCCCGCATTAGAGTAACCCTGTGTCGCGGATGCCACGGACACACGCATAGACATTCACAAAGTACACCCAAACTCACGAGAGAAATAAATGTTTACAAATATTTACCCCGGCCCGGGAATCGAACCTAGGGCCTCTGCGTGGCAGTCCGGCGTGGTAACCGTTCGACCACCAAGGCAGTTAAAAAAAAAACATAAACGTGACAAAGTGGTGAAAGAATATTTATTTCTCATTACAATTACAAGTTCACTTACTGAGAAACTTACGTAATTCAAACTTAAAGTAGAAGAAGAGTATTAAAAATAAGCTATCGCTTAAAATAACGTAGGTAAACAAAAATACGACGCGACAGAGCGTACAGTCAAGAGCACGTCAAGCTTGACATTTTACTTGTCATTGTACTTTGGATCGTTCTTATCGTAAGCGGCATAGATTTGGATTTATATCTTAAGTGTCCTTGCTTGCTTGACCTTATACTACACGCGGCAATAACACATTCGGAAATCTGTTAATATATTAATCTTATATTTCAGAAATTCTTCGTTATTTTGTAATAATTAGTTCGTTTGGGAAAGATACGAATAAATTAAGTTACAAACAAAGTAGACCAATTTCTGTAAAAACACTTTCTGTTATTCTTTTTTTTTTTGTATGTTAGGCGATTACTCCATTTCTTAACCAATTTGGATGATGACCTGTAAGGGTGTCAAACTAGGGGATGAATCAGGTTTATTGGATTTCAACCACTTTCCGTTAATCGTTGTCAATAAAACTTAGCAAGTAGATATAATTCAACGAACTTTTGAGTTGGTTTATCTATTTTTTTATAAAAAATGGTGCAATTATTTACTTTAAATATGTATTTGATTTTTGATGTGCGAGTTAAGCAACCGTTTCTACTACGTCAATGAGAGCATTTTTTACAATTACCAGCAATTTATCATAAAGTAAAACTCCATCGTGTGGTATATTATTTCTGTCCCAAATTTGTTATATGCTGGCGAGTGACAAGATTGTCGCTATAACATTTTATTCCATTAAAATTATATGCCTATTTTATTAACCTCTTTTTTTAGAAGTCAGTTAAAAAGAATTTTGATTGGGATTTGAAAGTTTTATACTGTTTGTATTGTTTTAACCTACTTGTGGGTGTATTAATTCAGATTTCGATAGTCGATATGAGGTTTAACAAGCGACGGGAGATACTGTTTAAGTTTTCACCATCATTCAACCGTAAGAATACTTAAAATTTACCACTGACTTTTTCTTTTCCATACAAACGCCAGTATATCTGTATATCACCGATAATGTCTTTCAAAAGGACATGGCATGCTTCCTGTCCTCAAATCTACGACGAATGGGAGTCAGATGGAGCAAAGTGGGTGATCCAGGATCTGCCTCCTGAAGATGACGAAGAGGCCCTGAAGTTAATGGTGGAACACTTGATGCCTGACGAAACCATGTGCCAGCTTAGTGGTAAGTTCAGATTGCTTTACCAGTTCCAACTGCAAGCGGTTTTATTGTTTGCTAGCCCGAGTACCTTGTTTTGATAACCCTTTTTTAATGAACACTTTTCGTTTATAATAAAAGCACGATCTAGTCCTTAAACGAAAAAAAAAACTACGGGTGACCGTTGCTGACCGCCATTGCCTGTAAGCGTCAAGAGTCCGTACGCGTCAACTTTGGAGATACTATTTTCGATGTTAAGATACTTCATTAGTATTCCAAAAGTCTATGGTAACAGTAGCCTTACAGGCACTACAATACATTTACTTATAGAACGCGATAAAATACAAAGGCAAACAAAAAACAACAGAAAAAGTAGAAGTACCTACCGCCTTAGCGCTTACTACACAAACGATCCAACGACCAAATAGATAGTAAGTAGTGTCAATTAACTGGCATAGATTAAAATAATATAACTCAATTGCGTGTAAAGATACAGTGTATATGAGACAATGCCACTTGATATTTGCAATTAGACCTATGTACGTCATAGATGCCATTATTGACTCAACACTAAATTAAAAACTAACCCACACTGTCCTGAAAAATAAATACATAATGCAGATGTTATTTATGTATTTCTTTTTTTAACAATAGTGGGTTATGTTATGATAAAGGTTAATAAGTATAATTAGCACGCGCCACTGATCTATCGCCGAACTGACCTTGAGTAATAACGAGTGATGGGCGGGCGATGGACAAAGCTGAGGGGGAGAATGTTACAATTGCATCGGCCGGAGTGTTTCACGTAGTGTGTCTAAAAACATAGCCGTTGTTGGATAAGTTTGTGAGGTCATATCTCAACATTTTAATACTGGGTGATACTAAAATAAAAAAAACACGTATGTTCTATTTTCATCAATGATCGCAATATTAAAACTTTGGCTAGTGATAAAAAAATCACGAAACTAATCGTTCCTTTTTTGAAACAAAACTAAAAATTAATTTAAAAATCTTAAAATACATACAGGCTTAACAAATACGGAGTTACAATTTAAAATTTGACTCCAAAGTATTGTCGACAGTTCTGTTTTAAACATTTTTAAGGCATTGTTGAAGATAGCTCTGGTTGTTTTGCAGATAAACGGTTATAATGGGAAGACATTCTCGAGAATGGATGATGGAAACCTAAATTAGTTCGGCATGGGGGAATATGAAAAAGTTTAGTTCAGAGAGATCTGGGATATTTGTATGATACAGAGAGCTTTACGTTTTCAAGTACTGCAGAGCATGATATCTCACCAGTTACTAATTTATGAAGAAAAGACAAGTCAGCTATAATTCGTCGATTTCGTAATGTCGATATTTAAAAAAAATTCATTATCTGGTCATAAGGACATCTATGGTGGGTAAAATTATAAAAGCTATATGCCTTGTTGCTAAAGGCACGCTGAATGCTTTCCGTGCGCTGAGACGGGTGCATTGGATTCCACACTGTGGAGACAAATTCAAGGTGAGAGCAAACAAGACTGTCGCAGAGTACAATTTTCTATTTTGAGTTGATTGAAATTACGTGTTTTCCTTCTAATAAAACCCAACAGTCGTACAGCTTTATTAATAATTGTACCTATACATACAAAAAAAAATAAGTTTGTTATCTGTAGTGACTCTTAAATCATGGACTTCGTTGACCTTAGCTAATAGTTCACCATTCAACTAATATGAAGATAGAACGGGTTTTAATTTCCCCATGAATGAAAAGTAGTGACATTTACTAGGGTAAAGGGTCATACCATTGGATGAACACCATTACATAGATTTTGAATGAATGAAATATTCTTTATAGCATTATACAATAGCAATGACAATACAGAACAGTAATGTAAGTATCACAGAATAAGATAAGGTGCAATAGGCGGCCTTATTGCTAAGTAGCAATTTCTTCCACGCAGCCTTAGGATAGAAATTTAACAGTTGGAATGGGGGGTGCAACCGAACACTATCTTGTAATGAAAGTGGTTATAAATAAATACGCTATTTATCGATAACTAAAAAAAATTTTGTTACTTTGACGGTGAGCAAGTTACCTATAATGAAGCCAAGTGTTTACTGGCAATATGCTTTGAAGAGCAAAACCTTGACCTGATCGCTACAACGTGCAAACCTTCACGCCAACATGTTACCGCACTCAGAAAACGCCCTGCGCTCCCGTTCAATAACCCAATTGACATTTAGATCGTCGGTGACTCAATGTCCCAGATACTTAAATTGCTCCACTCTTAACGAGGGTATATCACCAAGTTTAATCGGAGGTACAACAGAATACGATTTAATGCCCACCGTAACTGTGTTCTCCGTTAAATCTGTTCACATAAAAATTGAAAAGGCGTGGTGAACTCAACCCATGTCTCACCAAATATTAATATAACACCTTTTGACTCATTAGTTTCACAATGCAAGTTTCACCATAAAACCTTAGAATAATAACGCATAGAAACCTAGTCCGCACACGCTAAGTGAGGCAAATTGAAGCGCGCCCAATGGGCCTACACGAGCGGGCGAACAGATCAAGAATTTTAGCTAAAAGTGACGAAATATGCTGTAAATGAGTGTAAAAATACGTCAGACAAACATAAAATAGATACTAACATCACATTCCACTAGGAAGTAACGCGTTTCAACTTGTATTTTTATATAAATATTCACTAAAACTGAAAATTAACCTACTACTAAAACTAGCCTACATGAATTTGATTTTTGCCTCACTTGTGACTGTTCGTTTGATATGAAACTATCATTCTATGCGTTATTATTCTAAGCATAAAACATTATATGACACCAAATCCAATGCTTTAGAACAGTTTGCTTGAGGCATAGGACAGCGATTTTGATGAACAGACCAGTTTTAAAACTAAATTGGGCATCATGCAGATTTACGTGTATATCCAAATGCTTATCAATTAGACTGTCCAGTATTTTGGATATTATTGTGGCCAGAGATATGGGCCTATAATTACATAAATCTGACGCATCACCCGTTTTGTTCATAATCACTGGAACAACAATTGTGTACATTAGCTTATCAGGCATGTACGTAACAGTCACTAATAAAACAATGCCAGAACTCTTGGCAAATGCACTCGAGCACATTTTAAGTGTTCTATAACTAAGGCTCTCATGACCAGGAGACTTCCCTCTGATCATTGATTTAATTACACTCCCAACTTCATTGGCACAAATTGTAAAAGCAACATTCCCTCCTGGTTGCCCAGCCGCAACATTATTCACTTGGTTCGCCGTCTCCAGGCGTGACTACTCCGAATTGGCGCCGAAACGAATTGGCTATGTCACTCGACTCATGTGCACCACCTACGCATACTGGTTAGCCTAGCTTTGGATTCAATTTATTCGTCGTTTTCCAGAACTTACCAAAATGCTTATTTGGTGCTGTTGTGTAATAATGTCCCTTTTGTATCTGTTGAGCATTACTTTGACAATATTTTAATTTAGATTTTAACAATTTTCAAGATTCGCACACATCATTGACTTACAAATAAATGGACGAGGTCTAATACAAAAACCACGAAAAAAATGTCCCAAGTCAACCTACTTAAACGTAGTGACATGTAAAGTAATATGAAAAAGCTAAAACGTTAAATTTAAATTGTAATGTCATCGCAGTACTGTCTAATTTTGCTTGCTTCGCTGTCAGTCGAACATACGAAGACTAAAGCGTGAATGACGCTCTGTATACGATTTTAACGCCCTATAAGTTCGGACACTTTTAAGCGCGGACCCGACGTCCATATAATTGTAAGTCAATGGCACACATCATAAATAAAACCATTTTTAAATTTGCTATAACCACGACTGCTCAGTTATCAAAACGGAACCTTTCTGTGAGAATCGCTTACATGTTTATACCAACCAGGTACATATTTACATTTTAAATTTAATCTAGGTTCAATATAATTTTTTTTACATTTTTGAAAAGTCAGTCTAAGGCGCGTAACGTCCGTTAATCCGGAATAGAATGACTGAATATTCGGGTATTCGTCGACGGTCCGGGTCGAATATTCGGTATTCGGTCTGAGGCTGAATATACTATTTGTTGCGATATTAGCGATAACCCATTAGAATGTGGTGACATCTCTATTGTAACAAATAGTACTCGTATGAATAACAGCTGTCTAGAACCACTCTGGAACGTGAACTAAGATAAAATAACCGGTCATGTTATGTATTTAATGTTTTTCATTTTCTCATGACCCGTCGAAATGAGGGCGGGACACTATCGCAACAAGTATCCAACAAGTATATATATAAAAAATAAAAAATTATATTTTCAGGAGTATACGAAGATCCAGTAAGCAAACATTTTATGTCAGAGTTTTGGCGGGATTGTCTATCGCAGCGAATGAGCCTAGCATGTTACCAAATAAAAGAAGGGAACAGGATTTTGGCAGCTATGAACTGCTGCTTTGTTAGTTTTGCTGACGAGAAGAAGGAGATACCCGAGGTAAGGAAAATTAACAGATAATACCCAGACAGTACGTTACACGGTTGATGGCGCATATAACCGCTCACGCGATACATGCAGCCGTAGACGCATACCACACCTAGAGGTGCCGGTGATGATTTTATATCGATTTATCGGATATCGAAGTTATAATAGGTTAAAGAACTAATATTAATTGCTATTTCGGTAACTACTCTAGCAAACCATAAAGATTTTAATGCCTGGGTCTGTCATTTAAAAAAATAAACAACGTCAAAAATACGTTACGACAATCGTGAGTGGTATTGTTTGGGCTGGTGATTTCGGTGTTTATTTATTGAAAACATACCGTAAGTAGTATTTTTTGAGTTTACCCTGAATATAAGTGTTTATAAACTATAATTTAAGGAGAAATTTCATGGTAAACGTTAGAACCACTCAAACAGAATATCATCATATTTATCCAAGTACATCAAAAATTTCATTAGTGCTTTTTAAGTGCAGGATTTGCGGTGTATTACTGCATTTTATTTGAGATGATTTTGTTGGTAGTACGGAGGGTATTTATTTAGCAATGCAGAATAATAATTTTTATTTATAAAAACTTGTATTTAATCTGAATGTTTTTCTAATTTGCGAAAAAAAAATAGCCGCCATTTTGCGGTAGGAGGAGCGCATCGCGTGAGCGGTTATATTGCAAAAGGTAACTTACATTATGTTGTCAATTGTGACGGCAACCACTTACCATCTAGTAAACCATCTCTCTCGTTGCTGATTTCTCAGAGTGTTGTAGTTGTAGAAATGTGAAATGCCAACGTTAACGTTAACTTATTTGGCAAAGGCTAAATACATGTTTAAAAAAAAAGGTAAAAATTGTAGATATGAAATGAAACTTTTTTCCGGATTTAAATCGCGTATATTTGTTTTTTTTTTTTCAAACAAACCGACCAAACAGATATAAGACTGCAGTACTAATTAATATGTTTTAGTTTATTCTAATTTCTATTATTAATTAATAATAAATTGAACTTAATAAAAATTCATTCAATAAAATAATTTGTAAAATTAATGTAGCGTAAATTGGAATGTTTTGTTTGTGAAATTAAAAATAAGGTATTTAATTAATAACTATTGTAAGTATAGCGAAAAAATTGAGTGGTTTGCATTAATATTAGACATAACTGGTTGAAGACTGCACCACCTCAGTCAACCGTGACCATGAGACCTGTAAAGGGCCCGAAACGTCGGTTTGTTTGAAAAAACAAATATACGCGATTTAAATCCGGAAAAATAGTTTCATTTCCTATGTGTAACAATCGCGAAAACCTAAGAACTCGATAGTAGATATGAATTTATTTTTCATCACACTTGCAAGATAAATTGATTATAATGTAATCCCCAAATAAAATCCTTAAGCCTTTTATCTTCTCATTACTGACCATGGCTGTAATGAGAACAAAAAAGGCCGTGTTACGTGCAAGTATGAAAAGATCTCTGCATTGAGTTTTTCGACTTTCGACGGAATTTCGTCGACTGCAGCTTAGTCGGTTAGCGATGGGGACGGAATCCCATGGTCGCAGATTTGAGTCCTGTCGGGTCGAAAGCGTTTTCCTTTGTGTTCGATCTTTGTATTTAACAATTATAACGCATTGTTCTTTAAATTTTCAGGGCGACGGAGAAGCGTGGCTTAACGTTTATAAAACAATAGAATACTTCGATTCTAAGCTGGACGCTTTCAAATATTTGGAAACTGATAAACTACTGTATGCCGTCGGCTTGGTGGTCAGAAGGGACTTTAGAGGTGCTAAACTTGGAGCGAGGGTATTGGCTGCTCGGTAAATTCTTTGTCACTTGCCCGTCTGATGTGTTAATTAACTCAAACCCTGTTGCTGTGGCATTCCTAACCTTAAAGCCAACACTTTTTGTTTTGTGCCTATTAATGTTAGTAACTTACGCATACATATAAATACTATCTCGATTATTTACTTATAAAGGGTTATTAGTAACATACTAACAACCTCCCAGGATAATATAAAAGTAACGGGACTTACTCGCGTAGTATTTTAGTCGGAAGCGGTCCGACTAGTTTCGACCATAATCGATGGTCTTCTCCAGGGGTTGAGTGCAACGTTCGCGACCGCGTCACGTCTAGCACTGCGCGCTGGCGCTCTGTGCGCGCGTGCTGATGACGCAGTCCGCAGTACCGCAGGCTGATACTTTGCGTCAGCGCGTCCTGGAACTCTTCTTCGCTACTGCTGTCCGTAGGATTGTTGTCGGGAACAGTCCAGCACACAGAGCCCACCACGTCGTTACCCCTAACATCTGCATCTGCATACCGAGCAAATCCCATGTGCCTGTACACATGGGATTTGTCAATTTATGTCTCAGAGAGACGGGCGCAGTGGTAGTGCTCCTCAGATCTTTGTGATTTAGAACTCTGAGTGGCACTGCAACTGTTATGGACAGGCGTGTCGCTTATCACCAAGCCCACGACTTTTTCATCCCGAAAAAAACTCGGATATAACATTCATTTAATGTAATATGTATGTATTATAAAATATAAACCCAGTGTCAATTTTAGTTGCGACCTGTGCAGCGAAGAGGAATCTTAAGCTCGAAAGCACTTTAAAGTTACTCTTATAGAACTGAACTTCCCCTAGGCTAGGATAAAAGTTTTTAATAAATAAATAGTTATAAGCTAAGTGTTCGCTAACACGTACAGTTGCAAATTTATTAACTTAGGTGCTTCAAGTGTTTATAAAACTTAATAATGATAATATTTTAAGATTATATAATACAAATAATACCTACGTATACCAATCATTTTATGTAATGTTTGATATACTGAAAGTGTATAAGTATATACACATTGAATTATATCTTTTGTTATTATACCACTTGTTAATTATATACATATACCCCTTCTTCTTCAAGTGCCTCTCCATTATTGAAGATCGGTAGTTAGTTTTCTATATCTTTCTTTGTCCTGCTAGCCTGAACAGTTGTTCCACGGTCTTGAAGCTGCTCCACTCCCTGATGTTATGAAGCCATGCCATTTTCCTTCTTCCAACGTGTGTGTAATAGATGGTATCTGTCATGTCACAGTCACAATTAATTATAAAAGACAATAAATACATTATAAAAGTATACAAGCGAAAACGTGCTGGTAGAATAATTATTGCACGCGCCATATTTTTTCTAACTTAAAGGAAGGGTTCTTCTCTTTCTTTCTAGATGGCGCTACAGTTAGCATTCCTATGTTAGCGAACGCGACCAGCGACTGTGACCGGCGACCGCGACTCAATGTTTAGTATAAATTCATATCGAGCGCTGACATTGGCAAGCGACCGCGTCGCACGACTTATCGGCGTGGCTCGCAAGCGACCGCAGTCGCACGACATCACTGCTCCTGTAACAGTGCCGCCGCGCGTCCCGGCAACGTCCCGTTTGTTGACGATGAACTGTTATAGTTGTCACCAAATAAGAGGCCAAATTTAATACTTCAAATATATTTTGTCATATTATATAAGGTTTCAATAAAATTTACGTATTTTTTTTCCTCAATTATGCTAATAATTGTTTGTTTATTGTTTCGTTGATTGCATTCAAAGTTACATGCTATCGCCTTCTTTAGCTGTCAAATTTGGCCACTTATTTGGTGACGACTATAGTAGATTTAGTGTCTAAAAACCTACGCTATATTATTCGAGAGATATAGAGATAACATAGTAGGAATAAATATGTATCTGGGAACAAATTGACAAAATGAGTGTATCGCCTTCCTTCAATAAGTAACTATTTTTCTGGTTGTGGATTAATAGTTGGACATAATTGTATTAACCACCAGAATACAACCGATCGTATTAAAAACTGCGGGAAGATTGGCGATCGGTCACGGTCGCCTGGATCCGTACGTTACTGGTCGCCCGGCGGCAGGCGACCAGGAATGTGGTCGGGTTGCTGTCGCCGGTCGCCGTCGTCGCCAACATCAGAATTCTACCTTTATATGTGCGGAGCAGCGAGATGGGAGGTTTCCCGCATTATAATTGTTATTATTATTTACAGTGAACCTCTGTGCAAGTCCCAAGGCATCCCATCTACTTCAACACTGTTCACTGGAGTTGCATCACAGAAGTGCGCGCTCCGAGCGGGCTTCACTGAAGTCCTGAGCATCACCTTGAGGGAGCTAGCCGACGCCGGTCTCAAGTACCCGAGAGACGATCGATGCATTAAACTCATGGTTAAGAAATATACACTTTGATGTGTTAAAAAAAATTGTCGACTGTCCATTTGAAGCCCAGGCCACACCGCGAACAAAGCTAAGCTAAGTTAGCTCAAATACGTAGTATGCCACTGCATACTACGTATGCAGAGGCATACTACGTACGTGACATGCTACACTATGGATACGTGCGGGGTTGAAGGGCGGCAGAAGGGCGACATATTTTACATATCTTAGCGGGATCGTTGGGTTAGGCTTGATTCATATCGCCGAGACGCAACGCAACGCGACGCGACGCTGCGTTAAAGCGTGCAGTGCAACATTAACTTTATCCTCTACAAAATAAGGCAACATTTCATTTAACAAAAAAATATAAACGAGCTGCAGCCAGCGGCGGTGGGCTGCAGCGAGCTGCGGTAGGCGCACTTTATAAAATGCAATATACTATAGAACAGGGGTTCCCAAACTTATTTTGTCTACTGCCCACTTTGAGAATAAATTATTTTTTAGCGCCCCCATTTTTTCACCTACTTAAAAACCACTAACTAATTATTTTGAGCTATATTAGCGGAGATTAAACATTCATTCTAAACGAGACTTTTACTATAACCCGCAAGAGTTACCTTGAGACCTGGGCGCAGTATGTACACAAGGGCGCTCAGGTCTCAAGTTAACTCTTACGGGCTACACCTGCCAATGAGAACGATTATTGAAACGCAACTTTAGAGTATTCAGACAGAGTATCTTTTATTCAAAATAAAACAAACATAATCGATTCTAATATAAAAACGAATGTGAAGGATGAATTTGATGCTGTTTAATAAGTTTGTTGACATCAGGTTCCAATTCACTCAAGAACAGCCGCAAGTCACCACGTTTCTCTTTTTAGTAAGCAGCGTTGTCACAGGACTAAAACCACGTTCACACAAATATGACGATTGGAACGCTATCAAGAATCGTTAAGATTGATTCAGGGTACAATTGCGGGATCGGTTTTTGTAGCCAAAATTCTTGGTAGCCATTTTTGTGTTTGACATTGTTCACGGGGAGGTTTATCACATATTGCTTGCGATATGCTGCCATACTGCGCATGCTGTTTCTTTTTATTTCGTTTGTCGCGCTCAGTTTTTATGTTTATAAAATTACAGTGTAGTACGTCTGACACTGCCTTATTCTTTCGCGGCCATTGCTCGAGTCCCGCGCGGTGCGCCAAAAATGTCGTCGTTGACGTCACGGTGCTCACCATATTCGCTACAGTTAAAAATTAAAAATGGCAGTTTTATCAACATAATTTGACAGCTAAATGTCGCTATAATAGGTTTATTATGCTACGGGCACTAGCGGTTGTCTATCAACAGAACAAAAAGTATATCCTGAACACCAAAACAAAACCACCAAAACGACGTTAGAAAAGTTTATTTCTCAAATTAGCCCTACCGAGAATCGAACCCGGGACCAAAGGCTACGGAAGTCACTCTGCGACACTACTCAGAACAGCCAGGCCAATACCATTTTAGACATTTTCAAAATTGGTTCTACCGGAAATCGAAGCCGGAACCAAGAGCTACAGAATTCACTCCGCGGCACTACTTAGAGCATCGAAACAACGTTAGAAAAGTACATTTCCAAAATTGGTTTTACCGGTAATGAAACCCGGGACCTTCTTATCCACGCAATATTATTTGTATGTATAATCTACAAATTGCGTAAAGACGACTCTTCGTGATGGTATAATGAATGGTAATAAGTAACTTACGTAGCGTAGTATAATAACACCAGTGCCCGTAGCATGACAGAATATTTGTGATAAACCTCCCCGTGAGAATATTTAATTCATTTGATAAATCTAAGTTTGGTAATGAACAATTGTTATACATTTTGAAGAACAAGGACAACGATATAAAATTGCGTGTGTAGCTATCTTTGACGTTCAATCATCGCCGCGAAAACGATGACACTAAAAATTATAAAGCTATATTTGCTTATTTGGTAAAGAACTATTGTTACACATTTTGAAGAACAAGGACAACAATATGAAATTGCGTATATAGTTATAATACGCATTCGTATAGCTATCTTTGTCGTTTACTCATCGCCGCGAAAACCATGAAAGAAAAAATGTCTTTCCATATCATTTGTCGCGTTTAATTTTTACGTTGATAAAATTACTGTGCAAATGAAGCTGTGTATCGCGGGTAGATAGAAAACCATAAATTACACTCAACTCACGAGAGAAATAAATGTAAGCCATACAAACATTTCTCGGCTCGCGAATCGAACCGGAACCTCCGCGTGGCAGTCCAGCATAGTAACCGTTCGGACACGGAGACAATGAACCGATGTTGATGATTCTCTTTTTTTATTGGAAAGAGGGTACCTCAGAAGTGGTCCCATTTAAATTTGAATAAAATATTCGATCTCTAAGGGTGGTAAACTAGCGGATATATGACTTTTGAGGTCGGTTTTTTTAGTACTCTGTACCGAGGTTAGGTTATTGAATGTTGAGAACAACAATTCGTTCATGTTATGATAAAAGAAGTCGTATGGTAACTCCATACAAACGTAGCAACGAAGCTTGTGTTAGTGTGCGCCAGACGCGTGTTGTATAAGGACGCACACATACGCATAACGTCGCGATGCACTCCCGTTGCATAGCACTGGTCGTCGCATCCCACGCGCCTTACATTATTATTACACACTACTACAAACTACATTAATGCAAAAAGTTCTTGCACGCATAACGGAACTGAAGGCGACACTGAACGAGCACTGCAAAGCGAGAACAGTGGAAACGCCGTTCACGAGACGCGCCAAGCCGGCACATCAAGCAGCGACTTCGGAATTCCTCCTCATACAGCATACAGTTTTTTATGATACCAAATGGCGGGACAAACAAGTCGTACACCTGTCGGTAAGCGACACGCTTACCTGTCGCAAAACCGCAAAGATTTGAGGGGCATTGCCACTGCCCTCGTTACCCTGAGACACAAATAGATAACTCCATATGCCAGTAATTTCAACAAGTACCCTTACCCTTCAAAACTGGAACGCAGTAATGCTCACGTTACTACCTGACGGTAGAAATAGATAAGGCAGTAGTACTCTGGATAAACTATTTCACAAGAAGCTCTACGACTACAGTGGCAAACAGTCAAAATACAACCACGCAACGCGAAGCGCATGTCACTTATCTTATTATACGGTTGATACTTGCGCTTGCTTAAGAAATTTTCTATCTAATAATCTAATACAGCTCATTTTGTTTGGGTCGAGCGTCAGGGGCACTGGCTTTATTTCAGAGTTTTTTTTTTACAAAAGAAATTAAAACCATTTCACAAATATATATTGTACACCATACGTGTTCTATTTAGTTCAGTTGATACAAAAAAATCATTGGTATATGTAAAATACCTAATGAATACAGCGGTTTTCTTGTAAAATTTCTGGGTAAGTTTGTGTTTTTTTATCGTACAATTTTTAGGAATCGTGTTTTCATACCGCATAGTACTCAATACTCAATACTCAATACTTTATTGCTTTTCCATAAAGATAAAAAGGTGTTACAAAATATAAATACGGAACGTTTATGGACCCTGTGGGGCACAGCAATTGAGAGGGAGGCATTCTTTTAAATTACAATTTTTTAGATTATAATATTAAGTAATTACTATTGAGGTACGGTAGTATATTATTTTATAATCCGTGTAAACATGCATTTAAGTATTAATATGTACTAATTAGGTTAATATAATGTTTTTATTTATTTGTATTTGTTTGGGTATCTATTTATGTAGATATAAACAATTTAAATATTATCATTTAGGTATTCCTGTATAGTATAATATTGTTTTGTGACTAATAGGTTTTTTATTTGTTTTATAAAATCTTTTTCTTTGTTTAAATATTTAATGCAGTTCGGTAATTTGTTATATATTTTGATTGACATGACTAGTGGGCCAGAATGGTATAATTTTAAACGGGAGATAGGTAGTGCTAATTTGTCACGGTGACGTAAACTGTATCCAGGGGCAGTCTCTCCTCGCTTTATGTAGAATTCTGGATATTTCTTCACAAATTTGCATGCTTCCAAAATATAGATAGATGGTAGGGTGAGAATTTTATGTTCAGCAAAGTATGAAGTATGTAGTAATCAGTGTATGTCCTCAATTTTACTACATATTTTTCCAAAGTGATTAATTCAATACTTCCACTGTTATACGGAATTAACCCAAGCTATTTGAGGTTGAATAGACTCTTAAACATTATAAATTATGTAATTTCTAAAATAGACAATATACGCTGACTGCTTTTGCTGAAATCACACTAGTGATAGTGAATCACCTTCCCAGTCTATAACTACTTTATTACTGATACCTAATTTACTCAAGCACCAGTAAGCAGTTTTGTGAAAATGACTGATTTGATAAATTTTCTGACAAATATAAGTACTAAATGTTTTAGAAAGTTTTAGACGTTTTGGCACATGACAGTCTCAATAAAATCCCAAAGATTCCTGAGTCTGTACTTTAATATTTAACCGACTTCAAAAAAAAGGAAGAGGAGAGAGGAAGGAGAGGAGAGGAGGAACAAACTTTTGAGTTCGGTTTTTTTATAAAAAAAAGTTACAATTAAAGTTAAACTCAGTGTTACCTTCTCTTGAGTAGTAGTAGTAACCTAAAATTTCAGTTTTTATAATTTTTGTCTTCTTTTCATTTTTTAAATTTATTTATTCAACCGTGACCATGGGTCCTGTTAAGGGCCCGAAACGTCGGTTTGTTTGAAAAAAGAAATATACGCGATTTAAATTCGGAAAAATAGTTTCATTTCCTATGTGTAACAATCGCGAAAATCTAAGAACTCGTTATTTATTCAATTTCAAGAACAAATTTTACAAAAAGCATCTCTTCTTTATCGCTGTTCATCTGTGGGTTTGTGCACGTAAATCTTCACAAAAACTATATGAATTTGAATAAATAAATAATAAAATAAATAAATAACGCACACACTCAACATAGCCCCGCACTAGGGAAACCCTGTGTCGCGGGTGCCATGGACACACACATAGCCAACCACAAATTACACCCAAACTCACGAGAGAAATAAATGTAAGCCATACAAACATTTCTCCCGGCCCGGGAATCGAACCTGGGACCGCTGCGTGGCAGTCCGGCATGGTAACCGTTCGGCCACGGAGGCAGTAATGTAATTAGTATTTAAATTAGTAATTAGTATTTATTTTATTTTTAATCGGTGCACAAAGAAAAGAATGTCAATTTTAAACATCGATGCGACGCGAACACAAATCGGCTTATTGTACGTGCCCCGACGGATGTACATACGTTGAACATAGTATATAGAGAAGCATGACTTTGAGTAATATATACATAACGACCAACCAACAATTTCTTTTTCACCTCACTAGCTCGGAAAGGCAAATCTGCGCGCAACAGTGGGTTTCCACGTTAGCGTGGAAAAGGTTTTTGAAATTCAAACTTGACGATGGATGGTGCACCTAACTTCTTCTTTTG